CTGGTGAGGGGAGCAGTTACACATGGCAGGGCTAAGAGAGAACCAGGTCAACTAATTCTGCTGGACAATTGTTCTGAAAATATGAATTATTTTCAGCACAGAAAAAATAATCTTTAATATCACAAATCTTGGGGCATCACCTGCCTACTGGAAACCTTGTCCTGGTTTCCTTTGCTCCCCTGGTCATCTCCACTGATGCCATGCTTAACAGGGCCCCAAGACCCCCTCCTCCTTTTGCGTCATCCTTTCACTCTCCCATCAGCTCTAATTCTTGTCAGGCTCCCTCCTCCTCCCACAGAGCCCTGCCCTTGCCTCTGCCTCTGTCTGCCTGGGGAAGCCAGTCTTCCCTAGATGCTGTAATTAACTCCCACTCAACCTTGGGATCTAGTCGCACTTTCTCAGGGAAGTCTTTCCTGCTCTCTGTAACCAGATACAATTTGCATAGTACAGACTGTCAGGGCCCCCGGCTTCCCTCCTTCATCTCTGTCATAGGTGCATCTTTACATCTGGTGTCTGTATTATTTGGTTGCTTTTTCTCCATCTCACTCGTAAACTCCAACATGGTAGAGAAGGTACCTGGAACAAAATCAATGCTAAGTAACTGTTCAGTAGATAAATAAGTAAAATTCCCAAACCTAAAAGTTACTTCTAGACCTCCCAGACCCGTCAGGTTCCTTAGGGCTTTTCAAGTCCTGGTCTGGTCAATCCCCAGTCACTTGTGTAAGGAGGGGTCTCTGCCACTGTGTCTTGGGGTTCACTTGAAGGCGTTCCTGGATACTCACTTCTTATGTTTTGAAAATCCAGACCCATCAGCTGCTGCTCTCTTCACATCAAATTTTCTATGCAAACACCTAAAACACAAGCAGGATCCTTCTGAAGGTTCTGGAGTTAGAGAAAGACAGTTCTGTTCTGCTCCACCTTGTGCCTCCAAACTCAGCCCCTGCTTCACAGGGAGCCCGAACTTTAATTTACTTGTTTCAATATGACATTCACTTTCTGTGATCTGGATAGTGGCTTCAGTAATAAACTTATGATCTGTGTGCTTTTCTGTAAGGGTGTTATATTTCAGTATTAAACTTTAAAACATCCAAAGGGGGAAGGGACACAACAGGGAGGGGGTGAGAGCAGGATGGACTGTGGTGGAGGACTATGGGTGCTCTGGCAGTGGGAGAGCTACAGTGACTATGATGGAGGTTAACAGTAAAAAAGGCAAGAAGGTACCACAAGACCAGAAACCTGGCTTGCATAATGCAGGGAGCTGAAGGATAGGGTAGAAGTGATTAACATTGTCATTAAACCAGCTATAGAAATGCAAAATCTTTAGGCACCCCAGGCACAGACCCAAGCAAGTGTCAGACTGCTGTTCTTGAGTGCCATGGGACACAGACAGAGGTGGGGATATGAGATGGAGGGCCATTGTAGAATCCCAGGTCCTTTTCAAATTCTATAATTATTCAAAATAAAAAACAAAACAAAAGAAAACAAAAAAACCCAGCCACTCCACAAAGGAAGGAGCCCCTCCCAAAGAGAAGAAGACTATCTCAGTGCAATCTCTGCAGTGGCACAGGGCAGCAGTCCTTCTGCCCACCCGCGCTGTGACCTGTTATTACAGGGCAACCCCAATGTGAAATGGGGTTCAAGCGTGGCTGAGGGCCCACAGTCAGGCCAACCATTTCACATTGGGGTTGCCCTGACTGTGGGCCCTCAGCAACACTTGAATGGGACCTATAGAGAGACTCCACTGCAAGCACACACAAAATATTAATAAAAGGATTATTTACAAAAAGGGGAAATGAAGAGAGGAATAACCCAGGGAGAAAGAGAGAGAGATAAATTGGTGAATGTGTCCTAACAGTTCCGCTGAGCTGGAACCCCAATAGCACGCCGAAGGCCCGCAAAAAACCAACCCCCCAAGGCCCACAAGTCTCTGATTCTATATCAAGCCTGGCTGCTTAACTTCACCCTCAGTGCCCAGCAGTCCTCCCTTCGGTGGGGATGGCATGATGGGTTTTGCAGGCCTTAGTGCTTTGGATCTCTTTCGTCTGGGGTGGGTTGGAGTCCATAAAACCTGTGTTTGTGGAGTTCATGCAGGACATCCTTTCCCCCCAACATTGTGACCATGCTGGGGCTTCTTGTACTGACCTCCCTGAGCAGAGGCGGCGCTCCTCAGGGCCGCCCGCCTGCGACCATGCAGGCCTCTCTCTTAGCAAAGGGGCGGCCCTTCCTGCCCGCTGGTGTCTATGCAGTGTCATTTATTCCTCTCTCCTTTCGTAATAAGCCTGCCCTTTTAGATATAACTAACGCCTCTCTCTCCTGGAGAAACTAGCTTGGGAAACTCACCGGTGCTCCTGAAAGGGGAGCTTAGGTGAAACTTTCCCCAGAGTGAGCCCAAGGACTCTGCTCTCCAAACACAACATCTCAAAAATGACTTCAATTGCATCTGAGGGGGAAATACTAGACTGCCAAAACATTAACAAGGATGTAAAACTGTGGTATTTAAAATGAAAAAAGTAAAATAAAGCATTTTAAAAAGATCTTAGCAACAATGTGTATAATAACTAGACAGAGTGAGAAGGAGACAGAAAAGGAAAGAAAGAGATAAAAAGAGAAACAGAGAGGAATCAAATATCTGAAGTGTAATAAGCGGATGGCTAAATAAATCATTGACTAGCCAGGTTATGAAAATGTTAGTGGACGGATGTTAAAAAAGACAAGATACAGTTATATGCACTAACCACAGCTGATGAAGCAGGTCATCCTGTACGTATTGAAATTTTATATAATTAAAAAAAACAAAACTTTTAAAATATGTAATCGGTTGGGATTTCTTAATGCACATATTTGCTCCCTGTTATTCCTGCTACTCACACTCCCTAGCAATGAGGATGTGCTTGCTTTTTAAACTTTATATTCCCTTTCCTCCTCCCTATACAAAGTCCATAGAATGGACTAGAGAAAGAGTTGTAATGGCTGCAGAAAAAAGGAGATGGTCAATTACTGCGGAATGGAGACCAGGGTAAAGAATAGAGAAGACTAAGCGTCAGAGGAACTCAGGTTATACATCATCCAGGGCAGATTTAGTGAGGTCAGGAAGGGAGGACGGGGGCAAAAGGACAAAGAGATAAAAGACGCCTCATGTCTGCATGTTAGAGTGCATTTGGGTGGATGCCTTTAGTGAGGGGCTGCAGTGTGATCTCATCTGAGAGAGTTGAAACAGAGAAAATGGGAATTTTAGAAGCACACTGTGGCTTACAGAATGGATTCCCTAAAATATTTTTTGACATTAGTGCTGGGTTGGGTTTTGGGGATGCCATTTTCAGCAGATAGTAAGCCACAGGGGGCTCCAGGAATTTTTCAGTTCTGTGTGGTCTATGTATAAGCAATGCCTAGACAAGGTCTAAATGGATATAATCCAAACGCAGTATCATCATCTCCAAAAAAGGGCTTGGAAGTGGACATCAAAAGGTAACTTTCAATTCTTATCCATAAATGTCTGCACTATTAAAATTTCTACATAGCTTGTGCTACTGATCTAATTTTTAAGTAATAAATATTTATTTTTTATTTTTTTTAATTGACAAGTTGTATACAGATCAGGTACTGAAAGGTTTTATACAGGTTTCAGAAATCCAAATGCTTCCCTTTTAGTTTTTTTTAAAGATATATTTATTTATACATACTAGAACTGGGGTACAGGCCAGAAATGCATGGGGTGGGGGTAAGAGGATTCACCAGAGACAGAGTGGGGAACAGAACAGGCAGATTGACTGAAATACACTGCTGAGGGGAGCAGTGGGTGAGTCAGGAGAGGTCTGCTGCACCACATGGATCAGCTCCATGCCTGGGGATAGAACTCGTGCTGCAGTAGCTGCAGACAGCTTCATAGTTTGCATCTTAACCCCTTGTGCCACCAGGGAGGCCCAGTAATAAATATTTTAAAAGCTCTTGTTAATTGCAAAATAAGCAGTCTTCCGACTTCCCACACTGCAAGTGCCCTAGTCCTGCCTGGGCTGTTCTCAGCTCTGAGTGGATGTCCAATGAGTGGGCTGCAAGGTTATGGGGTCTGGACGGAGGGACAGAGTATGGCTTGTGGATCCGCAGCTGATTCAGATGTCCAAAGGCAACATGGTAATGCAGATGGCGTTCTGAGTGTCCCAGGGTGACTCACAGAGATTGCTTAGAAATAAGCAAGGTGCCAGGCTCTGGTTCTTACACTGGCTTCTGCATTCCCCAGACATATCGTCTCCTATGCTCACACACCAGACCTCAAAGGATTGCTTTGAAAAGTGCTTATCTCTCTACCTGTTTTTAATGTGTCTTTATGGTCTCTATTCAGAAACATCCACCCCAATCTGCCAGGTTAGCAAAACCTTAGAAAAGGAGCTACAAATGAGGAACGATGACTGGGCTGGAGACATAGATCCTGTCCCACCAGGCTCACCATCTTCACAGAGATCTCTTGCACTATCAGGGCTGAATTCCCAGAGCCCGTGTGGGATGTAGCTACCTGCTTCAGGGGAGTTGTAGACTCTTCTCTTGGGGAACAAGCCTGTTGGATCAGAAAACATCACCCACAAAGTCCAGCACGGTTTCAAGCCTCTCACAGGCACAGGGAGGCCCCAGGCTCCTCAGCAGCTCTGACTTCACAGCCCCTGAGACATCCATGCTGAACTCTGGGTTTACAGGCAGCAGTGGTTGCTGCCTTGGGGACCTCGCCATGGCCAACACTCTCCTCTGACCATCGGAGGCAGGAGAAAGGAATCCCTCACCCCAAACCCCAGCCTCCAATCCTGCTCACTTGCATAGGGAAATTTATTCACAGCTTCCTAGAAGCATAGCAATTTCAGGCTGGGATGGCACCAGTTTGGTCTGCTTGTCCATGTCCATATAGACCTTCCCTTTCATTGAGTAACAAGAGTAAAGGGGGAAAACAGAAGACCTTCTACCAGAAAAACCTAAATATGAACCAAAAAACAGACAGGAAATCACTGTGAGTTACATTTAGCGCTTTTTTATTCTTGCCAAAGTTTGGGGGGTCGCACTAACTCTGGCAGGATGCCTTGATAGAGAAGCAAAGCACAGAGGTGAAGCAATGAGATTCTACATCACCAGGGCTATAGGTGGGGGTAAGTGTTCCAGAAGGTAGCGTAGGGCAGTGAATTCTGAAGTAGAGCAATTCTTCTGTATTTAACAGCAGCAGTCATCCTCGCGATCACAGCATGCAGGACCCCTGGACCTCATGGGAATGATTCCCAAACAGCAGCACCCAGAGCCACAGCCTCCGGAGCTACAGCATCCAGAGCTGCAGCCCCCAGAACCACAGCCCCCAGAACCACAGCCCCTAGAAAGGCAGCATCCAGAGCTGCAGCACCCTGAACTCTCACAGCAGCCTGATGATCCTGAGTTGCAGCCCTGGGGCCGTTGGACCCAGCGTCTCAGGGGACTCACCCCGAAGGTCCGGGGAGCCAGGCAGCAGTAGCTGGTGGAGCATGGAGCAGAGCAGGGGTTAGGGACACTGCATTGGGTGGAAGAGGCACTTGCTGCGGCAGCCTGACCATAGTAGGTCTGATAAGATGCAGGGTACTGGACATAGTACGTCTGGGTCTGGTAGGGGACTGGATACTTCACATAAGTCGTCTGGCATGGAGCTGGGCACTTCACGTACGTCTGGCAGGGAGTTATGTATTTCACGTAGGTTTGAGTCTGGCACGGAGCTGGGCATTTCACAACAGTTTGAGCTGGGCATGGAGCTGGGCACTTCACATAGGTTTGAGTCTGGCATGGAGCTGGGCACGGAGCTGGGCACTTCACGTAGGTCTGAGTCTGGCACGGAGCTGGGCATGGAGCTGGACACTTCACGTAGGTTTGAGTCTGGCATGGAGCTGGACATTTCACAATGGTTTGAGTCTCACATGGAGCTGGGCACTTCACAGAGGTACATTTGGTACTTTGCCCAGCCCCCAATCCTGTCCCTGTCACACAAGATGGAGCGAATTGTGCTTGCTTCTGCTGGTCACACATCTTTCTGTGGCTTTGCACAACCTGAAAAGAAAAGATCCATCAAAAGTAGGAGGTTTCCAGGGAAAACTATAACATCTCCCTTGGACACAATGGTCTGTGAGTGGTAGCCTTTTCCAGAAGGTCCCCCGGACATGGGGATTTGCTCAGAGACAGGCATCCTAAGTCTGTGCCTTTGCTGACATGTGCCTCTGACAGCACCAACCCTCAGTGTCCACAGTGGAGCATGAAGATTTTGAAAGACGGCTGGCAGTCTTCCCGCAAACTCCCCAAGGCGCCTCTCTTCTTACCCATGCCAGTATCTGCACTGCAAATTCTCTTTGGGAGAATTCCCCACTGATTTCCCCTTGCTGCCAGTTCTCTCAAGACTGGATTCTTTCTTCCTCTACCCAGCCAGGCTTACAGGGATGGCAAATTCCTATCAATGGGACCTGACAAGGTTATATTTAGGTTGTTAAATTTCTATCATTTGCTCTTTGAATTAGCTAGATTATCACCTCACCTCATTCATGGACCCAAGAGAGGACTGATCCGTGCACTCAGATAGGGAGAAGGTGGCAACCCAGTTCTCTAATAAACGCAGTTCTCATGCAGGACAAACATCTCGGTTCACACTTGTTCTTCCCCTCTTGCTCTGGCTCTGTGCTTCCTGCCAAGTATTGCCATCCGCCTCCTCAGGGCCCACCCTCCGTGTCTTGTCCCGATCCCCTCCTCCTGCTGTTCTCCACACCAACATCTCCAAGGACTTCCCAGGCATAGACTTACCTGCTTTGTTGAATGGAGTGAGCCTGGAAGTCAGTGATCTGAGGAACTGGCAGTGGGGACACCTTTTATAGGGGAGCAATGAGGCAATTTAATGGAATCTAAATGAAGCAGAGATCACGAGGATGAGGGCCGGCCTTGCATTGATGAGATTCCTCCCCAGCACACTGGCTCTCCAGTCAGAGGCAGGGCATGTCTCTGCTTGATTCCAAATTTTCTTTAACACAAGATAAATGATTCCTCCTGCCTTCTTCATGAAATCTGTCAGTCTTATTTTCCTAGAAGTTAGAAGAGATACCTGTGAGACTTATCCCTGTGAAGCTGTTTCTAGGTCACTCGAGTCTTCAAGGAGCTGATTAAGATGTGGCTAGAGCTTCAGTTTCATACACCGTGCCAAAGAGCACTGCCTCTGCCCAGCCCAGGTGGCATGTTCTTCCTCCATAGTGGCTCCTGCTGGTCTGGGTGACTGGGCACAGTTTGGCCCAGTGGTCTTTGTCTCAATATTGCAGCAAGGCCCCCGAATTATGGATAGTTCCATGGTCATCCTAAGTTAATTTGGGAAACTGAAGGGGAGCTTGATGATCCCAGACCCCAGTTTCTATGATCAGGCTGTTCTCCTCAGCTTCTCATGCCCTGTGAATCGCTCCCACCCCCATCACTCTCCTGGGCCTAACTATCAGACCTAGATCCCCAAGAACCCAGCACAAGGGGAAATCCAGTCAAACACTGTGTGGTAACAATAATATAGACTCTAATATTTACTTGAGCTTCTTTTAGCGCCAAGCAATTCCTGAAGCATGTACATTTACAGATGGCCCCCTGTAACTGAATGATGTAGTAAGTTAACCATTATCATCAAGCAAGTAAGAGAAGCTAGACCTCAAACGCAGGTAATCCGTAGCCTTCATCATCAGGACCCATCGCCTTTTACTTCTGGACATAGCACAGTCACTGCACTGCTGTTCCTTTCCCCAGGGGAATAGACACCAGAGGACAGGCAGGGACGCTATGTGTTTAGAACTTATGTCTAAATGTGCTGAATCACGTCCCAGCTTCTCCACCTATGTGTCTTCAATAACCCTGCGAGGTACGTTATGCTAACCTATTTTTACAGAAGTGGAAGCTAAGACCAAGAGGCCTAACTATCTGTCCCTCCAAGGGCATCCCATTGGTAGGCAACAGAGTATCACTTGAATCCAACCCTGTCTAGAGTCCATGTTCTTCCTGCAGTGCCATGTCAAACTGCCCTTTATAGAAAGTTATGTGACAGCTATCTGACTCCAGTTTCTCCCTGAGATCAGCTAGTCAGGTTCAACCTTGATACCTGTGGTCTCTCAGATAACAGGTGCCCCTGCATTAGTCCTTGTGGATTTTTAATTTCTTCAGGACCCATAAAACCTAAGGTTCCCCAATCTTCTGAATAAAGAAAATGCAAACCCTCAATAGTTCATAGATTCTTCCCCATTCCACTGCATATTTTGCAAGTTCTCTCTGAAACAGTTTGGAGAAATCAAGAAGGAAGATTCTACCGCAGGTCCAGAAATTTCCCTGCTTCCTCTTGCCATTCCTGTGTGTGGAAACACTCCAGAAGCCCACCGTTCCTTTCCCTAAGGGGGCGGTGTGAGAGGGGAGGGATGAGCTTAAGGTTGTCCCATTATCTGCTGCCCTGGGTATGCCACCTCCATCGATGCCAGGATGATATTTTATGGAGGGAGGAAGCAAGGGATGATCATTTTTGAGGTCAGACAGCTTGTCAAATTTAGTACCCATAATAGTGTCTCAAATAAATAAGTAAACAAACAAACCTGCCCTAGATTGCCTATCTAGAATTGGTAGAACCAGAATTTGAACCCAGGTCCAAGAGACTTCAAGTTTGACTATTTTTCCACCACAACAGATTGCTGCTATCATTCAAGGCAAAAGTAGAACTAAGCCCACGCCCTGGTTCTGCCTCTGCTTGGCACTGTGATCCCATTATTCTCTGCTGTCTCTAGTCTTTCCTCTTCCACTCTAGAATGCTTAGGTGAGGCTCCTCTTTGTTATGAGATTCTGTAGTTGTAGAGTTTGGTTTTGTTCAATAAAAGAAATGTGCAATTCCATCTTCACCCTGTTCATATAGTCATTCCCCCCTAGACTGTAATTTCCAGGCATTGGTAAGAGTGGACTCATTCACTGTATCATCTAGCACAGGGCCAGAGGAACACTTACTGGACAGAATGAATGAGTAGACAAATTGAATAGGGATAGTTTACAATGACAGGGTATCCTAACCAACTCCTTCCATGTGGCGAGTACCCATCCTACTATTGGCCAATCTGCATGCCTCAAGCCATCTGTAGCCTCTGCTGGGCTGACTTCCTGCTCTGGTGGACCAAGCTCTCACTCAGGGGCTTGACATTTTCAGGTAGCACTTACCTCTCTGGTGAGAGATCCTGCACCCACATGCCACCAAGGCAGGTGGGTGGGCTGTACCCCGCCCACTTTATAGGCTGTGACAGCAAGGCATGGAGATGCTAGATGACTGGAACAAGTGCCAGGGTGAGTCACAAGGTTCTTCCCTAAGGTCTCATTGTCTCTTTGGACACAAGTTTATAAAATCAAAGACTTGTGGATTCATGCAGCAGAGGTCCAATAGGCTCACAAGATATTAGAGAGAAAGAACCATGGTTTCACAGAATTGCAGGTTTAGAACCAAAACAACTCTGAGGTGGAAAGGCAAAAACATGCCACAGGTCTGGTCCCTGCCATAGACAGGTCATCTGTGTCATATGGTCTACTGGGCTTTATAGGGAGATCTTCAGGTCTTTTTTTTTTTTTTTAAGGTTTATTTATTTATGCACACAAGAACAGGAGTACAGGCCAGAAATGTGGGGCCCGAGAGGATTCACCAGAGACAGGGGGGGAGCAGAGCAGGCAGATCTACTGAAATACACTGCTGAGGGGAGCAGGGGGCGAGACAGGAGAGGTCTGCTGCACCTTGTGGGTAGCTCCCTGGCTGGCCGGGGATCAAATTCATGCTGCAGAGGCTGTGGATAGCGTCACAGTGCTGTGCTTAACCCCTTGTGCCACCAAGGAGGCCCAAAATCTTCTGGTCTTTAAGAACTCTCTGCAGTCCCTCTGGTCAGCACACCTCCTGACCTATCATCTGCATGGTCAGGAACTATATACTAGATCATCTCCAAAGTCCCACAGCATCAGCATCCATGGACCCTGACATGAATTGCTTGTCATCAGTTGTGTCCTTTAGTGCATGAACCACAGCAAGGAGCTCATCCACATTAGGAGCTCAGAGGGGAAGTACTTTGCTGACATGTTGCCCCCTGAGGGCAGGATTTGGGTGTCCTCTCACACTGGAAACTTTCCTTGATCAGGGACTGGGGGAATTTGAGGGCAAAATCTGTTCTTTGTGTAGAAAAAAAGTGGAGCAAGTGAGAAGCCACACACAGGAGACTGAAGACACAACAACCTTGGTGTCCATTGAGAAATCTCTCCTCTGTATCTGAGACCAGAAGACAGTACAGAGCCCCATCCCTTAGGGCTTCTGTCTGTGTGTGTCTGTGTTCTATAGGCTCAGCTCTGAAATTTACATCAGAGATCCCTGCACCTTTATTCCTGAGACAGTTGGGAGTTCCTTCTAGATTATCAGGAGATTGTATTGTAGAGCCATAGAATAAAGAGGAAGTGAGGACATTCACAGGCATGAAGTTCAGCCCCTATATTGTAACTGAGTCTCACAGAGAAGGCAAGAAACTTGCTCCAGGAAGCTTAGATAGGAATTTCCGAGCCCAGTGGCTCAATCGCTCACCTCTTTCAAGTCTTTGCTCAAACAGAACCTCAAGGAGGTCTTCACTGTTAGCGTTTTAATGCCTGTCCACAAGACCCTGGCTTTGCAAGTTTTGTTTTTCTCCCAAGAACTAATAACCACCTAACTACAAACTTTATGTGTGTGCTCTCCATTTTCTTCCTTCAGAATGTAAACCCTCTCAGGTAAAAATTTCACCTCTTTTTTCCACCACCATATCCATAGTCCTTACTCAGGGACTTGGTACATTCAAAACATGTCTGTTGGATGAGCAAATATTATACATTTTCTTACTCATTTGTTGCCATCTCTCTTCCCTTATTAGAATACATTCAATGAGGCAGAAGCCTTATGTGTTTTTGTTACCAGGAATATCAGGGTATTTTGCTGCCTGCCACATGCCAGAAATCAATAAACAAAGGCAGGAACTGAATCACCACAATTTGCACTTTTTATTAGATTTTCCAGCAAAGCTGAGAACAGCCGGGTATCATGCTCCAAAGAAACCATGCTAACACCTCGCCTCTACCTGGCTGTTTTGTAGTGAGTTAAGCGAAGACAGGTAATTATTAGTGAGCAGGCTTCCACTCCAAGAGGTAAACAGCTCTGGGAATTTTATAGTGCCCCCTCTCCCAGGCAGCTCCCCTTCAGCTCCTCCTCTGCTGGCATCTTGATTTAGGGAAATCCCCAGCTGCTGAGATGGATCAGTCTCTGACAAAAGTGGTGTCCATCACTCTTTCAGGTACCTCTTGGTCTGGGAAGTTAACTCAGAGCAAACAGGTCACAGGTCAATGTGTGTACGAGCTGATTTCTAAACCATGTATGGAGACCTCCTCACCCCCTCCCTAGCCCCTATTATTTTGTTCATATGTATATCCTTAGTTCTTAAAACCACTCCTGGAACATAATAGGTACCTAATAAATAACTTTTGAAGGAACACTTCAAGCAAATACTAAGGTGGAGCACAAGCCTACCAAGTAAGCAAGAACTAACTGAATGTTGGTGAGTGTTGCTAGTATTGCTGTTTTCCCCCATTAAACATACCCAGTAACCACAGTTGCACTCAGCACTTAACAAAGAGCCAGAGGGAAAAAAATTGAGCTATTCTTTTGACTCAGATGAATTGCATCCCAAAGAGCTTTGAGCTCCACTGCACAAGCCCTTACTCACATCAGTCATTGTCTTCCATGCTTCTGTGGTTCTAAGGCATCATCCTAGAAAGCAGGAGAGTAGGGTTTCAGCCAGTGGTCTGGGTGCTGTGATATGGGGCTCCCTGGGAGGTGAATGGAGGAAAACCACTTTGTTTCCTGTGCCCTTCTGAGCAAACAGCTCTTTGTCAAGTCCGAGACAAATAGTTTGTATGATGCACCCTGCCCAGATGCTTCCACGTCTCTGGAGAATCCCAGTTCACCTTTTACTTCTTCATCCCCTCCAAGACATGTGCAACAAATTCCCTGCATTTAACTGTTCTCTGTTACAAGTAGCCAGTGTGGTCTCCGCTTTCATGGCTGGACACTGACACTTATATAATACAGAGCATCACACACCAGGGGAATGAGAGGCATGGAGCGCATGAAAAGAAATAAAAGTGAAATTTCAAATGGTGGTGAGAACAACCACCACAAACCAGGTTTATCTCAAGAGGGGATTCTTGAAAGGCCCGAGGGAGCCATACAGACACCCACCTTAGCTCTCCAGCCTTTCCCCATGGTGAGTTCACTTTGCACACCCTATGTGACCCCAAGACTAATATGGGTCTGTGATATCTAATCTGCCACATGCAGGGCTCTGCCTCCAGATCCCCAAATCAGCAGAGTTCTGTGTCCAGGGGCTCCCTATCTCCAGGATAACACGTGGGGAGAAGAAAGGCAGATCTTTGTCAATTCCAATTCTGATGGCTGTCTCGCTGTAAATAAGCTTCTTTTTAAAAAGATATTTTTCAATAGTAAATAAATAAATGTTAAATAAATTATCCAACCAAGAAGAACATCTACAAAGATCTGTTAGTTGTCACTATCCACTCCAGATGGAGCTGAGACAACTCTGCTACCTTAGAGAGCAAGAGAGAGCAAGCGAGTGAGTGAGAGAGAGAAGACAGTCTTAAAGAAGGTGTATGTGTGAAGCTACAGGTACATTTTACTTAAGTATACAGGTTCTTTTGGCTGAGACACTTCAGTGACATGGCTATTTTTCATCACAAATTTTTCAACTTCATTAGATATATAATTAACAAGTAACGTTGTTTAAGTTTAAATTGCGCAACTTGTTAACTTGAAATACATATTGCATATACATGTATATAAACATACATGCATGTATATATGTATACAATGTATACATATCTATCGTACCCACATTAGTGTTAGTTAACATCCCAATATGTCATATAACTACCAATTATCTCTTTTGTGATAAGAACATCTTAAATAAATCTTTAAAAAATAAGATTTATTCCTCTATCAACTTTCAAGTAGATAGCAAGATAGCAATATTTTATCTGTAATCACTATGTTGTACATTAGATCCCTGGAATTATTTTTTCATCTTCACCAGAGCCAGAGCGGGGAGCAGAGCAGGCAGAAGGACCGAAGTACACTGCTGAGGGGAGCAGCGGGCAGCAGGAGAGGTCTGCGCACCATGTGGGACCCTCCTCCAGTGGTCGGGGAGCAGCTGGGGATCGAACTGGCGCCGCAGAGGCTGCGGGCAGCTTCGCAACCCAGCGCTCAACCGCTGCGCCACCGGGGAGGCCCTATTTTTTCATCTTCTAACTAGAAATTTGCACCAACAGCTCCCCATTTCTACTCCTTGATAATTACATGTGCGTATATATTAGACTCATCTTGGAAATATAGTCAACTTTAATTTACTAGGTTCACAAAAATACTGCAGTTTCAGATTTTCTTGAAGATAAACATACACTGAAAAATCATTCATTAAAGTTTAATTGACTCACTTTCTCTAGTCCAAATAAGTTGTAATTATGTCTTCCTATTTAGGAAGGACTGGGATTTAGTTAAAAGAGAAAAAAAGTGGGATAAAAAATTACCAATCAAATTGGGATTTGAAAGTTGCAAAGCACATGCCTTAGGATATTGTTCAACAATCAGAAAAATATAGGTATTGACATGAGGACAAAAGAATGAAAATCCAAGGCATGGAGATGATGGCCTCTGAGAATCAAACTTCTATTTTTGAGAGGTCTGAGAATCAACATCAATTGGGGCCCCAATGAGAAGACAAGAGAAGAAGCAGGTAAAACCCAGGATGTAATAGGTCCTTGTCTCTTCATTCTTTCAGGGCCGCCCTCATGCTTGAGACCAACAGCAACTCCAGACTTGGAGCAGCCAGAGTCACTGCCACCGCCCCAGAAGCCGTAGCCCCCACGGGCTGACCGCAGCAGTCAGAGCTCTGGTGTCTCTGGTGATGGGACCTGCGGTGGCTCAGACAGCAGCCCGCACCCCACCCCAACCAGAGCTGTAGCAGCCCCCACCCACAGAGCTGCAGTTGGAAAACACTGGAGGGCACTTTGGGGGGTGCTTGAGGGACATTGGGCACTGGGGGGGTGGGCACTGCCGTTGCCTCTGCTGGCAGGACATCTGGTGGGAGTTCAGTAAATCTGAGTGATAAAATAGAAACATATTCAGAAACTCAGTATCTAAAGCCATTACATTTTTCTCTATTCTGAATTCCTTCCCCAAAGTTGGGGGAGTATCTATTGATAAAATCTGTGCTTCGAGAGAAACCTATTTGGACACTGAATATGTCTTCTTTTATACTTCTAGGGTTATCCACAGTTCTTGACTCGTAAGTGGTTAATAAATGACAACTGGACTAATAAATCAAACAATATTTGACACACTAGAAAGGGTCTCTCATGTTACATCAAAGACTTGTTAAATCCATCACAATTTTACCTACATAACTCTATCTAGGAATGTTTTTCAGAAATTGGTAGAAGGGCTGTCTCTTCACATGCTTTAAATTTAGGGTCTGCATGGTCAGAGAAAAGCTTCTCTCAGAGAAGTGCGGTCAGCGCTGGCCGGTCAGTCATTGCTGGACTATTGCAGGTCTAGGTCACTTATCACCTGTCTGTCCAACCACAGTGACAGCCCTTCCCAGGTAGCTGCAGCTTTGTCCAGAGCAAACTTTGGTCCTGATCTTCCTTTCCCACCCACCCTCCACCTCCCCTCCATGCTCCATGCTGCCCCTCTCCCAGAGGAATTCTCCAGCCTTATCTGCTTCCTGCTCAGTATCACCTCTGGATTCCACAGGAAACCTCACCCTGGTTTCAGACAGCCACAGACTCATCCTTGAGGAGGCTGAGCAGGTGAGGTGCCAGCAGCCCGCACACATTTTATATGGGCTCTAGGTCTGGGCCTCAGATGAGCCAGGTTTCTGGGTGTGGCTGTTCCACAGGTGAATGATGTGCAGTTCTGGCTGACAATCCTGTTTCTCTGTTCATTCCATACCGGAATGCAGATGGAAGTGGACGGGGAGCAGGGAGCAGGAATGGGAACTGCCAACCTGTCCACCTAGAGTCAGGGTTTGGGGGAAACAATTCTATAGTTGGCATTTGTGAATCACTAGGTTGTGGCTTAAGTTTGGGGGAACCCACAGCCTCCAGTAGAGGTCCCTGATATGACCTCTGAAATTTTCTTTCTTGGGAAGTTGTGAATGACCTTTCTAAATTCTCTTGAAATCCCCTTGTCTATCAATGAGAAAGAGTCTTTGGGGTCTAAATCTACTGCTTTGGCCTCTGCTTGCTTTGGGTCAAGTTTCTTCTCCCCAACAATCATGCTTGGTGTTGTGTCCCAAGTCCAGGGATGAAGTGATACTCAGTTGTGTGTATGTCTTCCTAACGCTGCAGTGCATCATCAATTTGGTAGCTTGAAACCATGGGAACATTTACACCATTGGAATTGACAACAACTCCTGTCTCCTTTTTCAAGAAATCCCACTGTTAAACTTTTACTAACTTACTACTTTCCAGGTCTCAGTCCAAACATTGCCCTTCCTCTTAATTAGGTCAAACGCATGTACCCATGTGTGGGAATAGACTCCTTGCACCAAAATCTTTGACAGAGATGCTTCTTTAAGAATCCTTCAGATTGATGGGTCTCCTTGGTGGCACAAGGGATTAAGCATAGAACTGTGAAGCTATCCACAGCCTCTGCAGCACGAGTTTGATCCCTGGCCTGCCAGGGAGCTACCCACATGGAGCAGCAGACCTCTCTAGTCTTGTCCACTGCTCCCCTCAGCAGTGTATTTCAGTCAGTCTGCCTGTTCTGCTCCCCACTCTGTGTCTGGTGAATCCTCTCATCCCCTGCACCTCTGGCCTGCACCCCAGTTCTTGTATGCATAAATAAATAAATCTTAAAAAAAAGAATCCTTCAGAATGAATCTCAAAGGCTAGCACATTTGTACTGGCACTTGGGTCAATTTGTGAAGGTGGGCATATAAAATGACCTTAAGTTTGGAACTACATTGACTTATTGAGAATTGTATTGTAACCCTGCCTTGTCTTAAGGAGTCCTCAGTGAGAGACCTGGTAGCCATGACTATATTTGTCCAAATGTGTAACCTTGCTTAGAAAATCTCTCCCTCTACAGCATTTTCCCTTTTCTCTTCTTCATTATCTCCCTCCCTCCCTCCCTCACTATGTCTCTTTCTTGTGCATATACACTAACATTTTAATAAATGAATTTTCTTAATACACAAGAAAATGAGTGTACAGATAGAGTTCTCCTAATACTGCTACTAATAAATCAACAACAAAACACAAAGCAAGAGATCACACAAGAACAAAGCCTTTCTTTCTAACCCAGGGCACACATTCCTGGGATGACAACATTTATTTGAATAACCCCACTTATGAAAAGCCACCCCTGGTAGTCAACTCTTTTCAAATATTTTCATAACATATACTTATTTACGTACCTTCTCACAAGGCACTTTTTGAATATCTACTTTGGGAAATAGTTGCCCAACTGAAAATAGATGCCTAAAGTTAATGCTGGTGTTGATAATGAGTTTGATAACAAAGACAAAGAAGATGACTAAATTCCAAACTTGAGTTTCTTCCTTCAAGGACCAGGAACTAACTGCCTTTGTGGTAACTTCTGCTTCTGACTCAACAACTATTTGTCTGGGTAGGTGTGGGCAAAGAGTCTCCTGGCATGAATCTCTCTAGGAATGGCTTGCTTTCACCCCATCTGTCTCCATTAATATGATGCCCCAGTTTCACAGCATTCAAATTTCAGATAAGAGTCTCATAGACACAGAGATAAAATCACGGGCTACAGGGAACAGTTATCACAAAAAAACGACTTCAAACACACTGGGCCTTCACTCTGTGGCCAACGCTGCCCCAGTCCTGGGGGAAATACTGGCACATAAACCTGAGTTACCCCTAAGACCATGAGAGGGTCTCATGGTTGAATTACAGAGAGAAACAGAGATGCTGGAGCAATTAGTTAATAACCCTGACCTCATCACAAGAGAAACGAGGACCCAGGGCATGACAGCAGGTAAATCAAAGGTCTACATCAGTGTTTCTTAGTAGGTGGACCCCATGGTAGCAATTGAGTCCAAATTCCGGGACTAGAGTCCACATCAATACTTTTTAAAGATAACGAGTTAATTGCAATGCAATCATTTTAGACATAGAGGATACAGTGCATGTTAGGTGTAGAAACCTGCTAAGGCTCGTGGGAGAGACAAGGCAGTTGAGGATACTGAAAGGGGCACACGAATGAGAGTGACCTTTGCCATACATGTCCCTATAGGCAGTTTGCATCATGGGTGCACAAAGTGTTCTGTGTTTTAAGAAAATGAATACATAGCACTCTTTTTTCAATTCACAAAATTGTAATGCTTGGCATGTGCTTAATTATATGTGAATTATATTTGTAGTCACACCTTTAGCATTCACTAAAGCCTTCACTATTAAGGATCATAAACAAAATAATTAATAAAAAGAAAAAAACAATATGAAAACTCACCCCGTGACAACCCGCATACATGATTGTTCTGAATTACATTGTTCCAGAACAACTAGTGTTGTTCAATGTTAACAGATGACCCCTGGGGAAGATGTAGAATTGGTGGCAGGTTCTCTTTGCAGGATGACCTCAGGGGCCACAGTGAAGCCTCTGCTAGGACTCCAGATGAGGAAGGCGGGACCCAGAAAGAAACACCAGAATCAAACTCTAACTAACTCATCTCAACAAGTTCAAGTAAGTTTGTCTCCCTTCTCTGTGCAGTGGTGGGGCTGAAGTTCTGACTATTGGAAGGGGTCTTATGTATGTCTTTGAGTTGTGAAATTGCCTTTCTGCAATCACTTCTTTAGTTATGCTTTCCCCACACTCAAAAAACCTGTCTTTTAAAGACTTCAAATGCCAGTCAAAATATATACATATATATATATATACACACATATATAAACTGACGAATAATTTAGTAAAATTTAGTATTAGATCTCAATTTTTTAAATATAGAAATTTTAAAGTAAAAGGATTATCAGTGTGATAATGAACATGATTTGTTGCAAATGAAGAAAAATTGTCATATATCATTCAACATGGTAAATTTGTTTTATGCTGATTTCTAACAAATTAAATAAAACAAATATACATGTACATATGATTTATACTATTATACATACATATATGATGTATGCTGTATATTGTATGGGCATATATATTATGTACCTATATATACACCTATGTAATATAGATATGCATATATGTTATAAAGGATGACATCATTTGCAAATAATATGACTACAAAATTAGAAAGTAAAAAATCATTGATTTGAATTAGCAAGAAAATTCTCTGATTTGATCACATTCTACATTAATAAGAAAACTCTGGATTAAGTGTGTGATAAGAAATGCTCCTTTATATATGTCACTAAACATGAAATACTAAAAATCATCTGAATAAAAACTATTAAAGTTCCATATGAATGAAACTACAAAATAATTTACAGAAGAGTTGAATTATGAAGAGACATACCATCCTCTTCTAAGGGAAAAATGCTTTACAAAATTAATAAAACCAAGCAAAATTTTCAACATTCATCAATGACAAAAAGGATTAAGCTATCTGAGTTAATTTAGTCTTCCAAATTCCTATGTGATTAATAAAAAAATACTAAGAATTAACAACAAATGGGCTATAGTTTATTAAAAAAAGAAAATTCACAAAATAGAGAATTCCAAGGAACAAAAAATATTTGGAAAAATGTATACTCTCATAAAGAAAGAAATGCAAACACAGGCAATAAAACATCATTTTAACCCGTCATTGATTTTTTTAAAAATAGATACTGTCCAATTACGGACTTATTAAACAACTCTTGCATATTTTTGTTTCACAGTTTTATTATCAATTCTAAATCTGGAAACTGAATTGTAGATAATATCCTAAAATTCGAACAAAAAATCAAAACTTTAAGATATTGATTTTTGTGTTATATACCATACACACAAATGCTAGGAACAAATATAGAATGTTTAGGTGTTGATTACATAGGGCCTCCCTGGTGGCACAAGGTATTAAGTGTAGCACTATGAAGTTATCCGCAGCCACTGCAGCACAAGTTCAATCCCCAGCCAGCCAGGGAGCTACCACATGGCGCAGCAGACCTCTCCTGTCTCACCCGCTGCTCCCCTAAGCAGTGTATTTCAGTCAGTCTGCCTGTTCTGTTCCCCACTCTGTCTCTGGTGAATCCTCTCACCACCACCCACCTCCTTTCATCTCTGGCCTCTACCCCAGCTCTTGTATGCATAAATAAATAAATTTTAAAAAGGTGCTGATTAAATAAGTATGTGCATCCCTGTGGTATTATCTTCCCTGAGTGTCAGGATATAGGAGGTAATTTCTAGGAGCTCATGCAGGTTCCATTCTGCCTGCTTGTGTCTAGATCCCCCAGCCATTATCCCAACCCCTTCTCCTGACAGATGGTTCCCTGTCACACCTTTGCTACCATCATCCAAAACAGCTTTGACTTGAAAATGGAACCGATTTGGCATTTGCTTCACAGCACAATGGAAGAGGACCCCTAAATTAAAGATCTCATTGTGAGTAGATTCCAGAGATTCCAGCTCTGAGAAGGGAATTAAAGAAAACGCAATGAAAAACAATTTCAACCATGAAGTTTGAGCTTTATTGTTGAATGAGATTAAAAGAAATAGAACAAATCTGGTTCCACAGTAAATTTGGAAATCTCTTGAGTCTACATAAAGTCTTATGAACCCAGAAAACAGAGGACAAAAGGTCAGAGAAGAGTAAAAGTGCATTAGACCGGGGCAAGTCCATGATTATTTGGTTCATCCTTTGTTTATTCTTAGTGATCCTCAGGGTCCAGGTAAGCAGCAGCCCCCACTGCCTGGGCAGTATCCAGAGTCCCCCAAGGGCTCACAATCGGCACTTTGGTGCCTACACCAGTGGAAGAGAAGGGGCCTGTGGTGGCCCAGGCAGCAACGCTACCCCAGAGCTGCAGGAGCCCTCAGAACTGGGCCACAGCAGGAAGAGACTGGAGGTAAGCCCTGGGCTGGCCCAGGGGTGGGCAGCTTGGGGTGCATTTGAGAGTGCACTTTGGAAGAGGTTGGCACTGCTGCTGGTTCTGTTGGCAGAGTGTCTCAGCAGAAATTCAATGAGCTGAGTGAGAAAATACAAAGTCCTTGCACATGCTTTAAACTTTTAAGTAATGTCACTCCCACTGCACTTTTTCATCTTTCCACATAAAAATAATGAGTTGACTTAGAAAAGACTGAAGAAATCATCCTGCAATTTTATGCACTAAAAAAAGGGGGGGGGTGGAGTATCCTTCTACTTCCCAGGTGAATTCTGTGTCCCCAGGAATTCAGAAGTGGGAGTAATACCAACCTTTCCAAACTCCCTTGGGAAGGGGGTGCCCATGTATCAAAGGACACCTTCAGAGACAATCTTCAGAAACAACGCAAGCCCCAGGGCAAAGCTGACACAGGCTCAGGCACAGCTGTGCTCACCCCTCTAGTAAAGTGCCAGTTCCAGATGAGGCTCTTGACAAACGTGTACAAACTTTGTCCTTTACTTTCTTATGTCAAAAAGTTAACCTTACTCCAGTTCCAAATAAAACGTATTTGCCATATTTCTTCAAATATTGCCCTTCCGGGCCTCCCCTGGTGGCGCAGGCAGTTGAGTACAGTGCTGTAAAGCTGTCCACAACTTCTGCAGCACTGGTTCGATCCCGGCCGGGCGGCGAGTGTCCCACATGGTGCACAGACCTCTCCTGTCTCTCCCACTGCTCCCCTCAGCAGTGTATTTCAGTCAGTCTGCCTGTTCTATTCCCCACTCTGTCTCTGGTGAATCCTCTCACTCTCCCTCGAATCTGGCCTGTACCCCGGTTCTTGTGTGAATAAATACATAAAAATCTTTAAAAAAAAAAATTGCTCTTCCCATGATTGTCTGACTCTTCTACCCATTCCTCCCCTGCAAACTCATCCATGATACCTCAGCTCTTCTCAGCCTACCTGGTCCCAAATCACTCACCTGGTTATGGGCTTTAATACAGAGTGGCATCAGGACAGTCACCAGAGTGTTCCAGGAGTGAATGAGAAGCCAGTCCCAGGGACATCTTCTAAAGGAAACACAGTCTCTAACTAAGGTCAGCCATGGCCCCGGAGAGCAGGAGGAAATGTTGGCCAAGCCGAGTGTGTGCTGGGGTATTCCTGCCTCCTCGCCCGGCCTCTCCTGCAGTCCTTCGCCAGCTGCTCTGAGGACATGGTATCCCCAGCTGCTCAGTGTTGGGTCAGGCTTCCTGGTGGGCATTTCTCATGATAAAATCCCACAGACTGAGCCCTGGGACCAGGGTCTGTGTGCTCAGGTCCCCATGCTCCACGTCTGGTCTCACGTGGCATGGTGTGTGACTGGCAGGTCTGATCTGGGTCATCTGAAAATATAAAGCAACTGTATCACTGGGCAGGGACAAAGCATTACAGTGTGAGAACACGGGGCTACTGTTCTTAATCATTAGAGGGAGGCTCAAAACTAGCATCAGGTAATTGGCATTAAAGTCTGTGTGCTCACTAAATGACAACATTCAGGCACTGAGTTGAGGGGTCCCCAGCCATGAAACACTGCAAAAAGTTCTGAGAAAATGGGAAAAGCCCAAAGGGAGCTAAATTTGGACCGATCTTTGAAAATTTTAGAATGTGTCTCCCCAGGTTTACCCTCTGTCCTTCTTCCCACACTGCTCGTCGCCTTTATCTGATTCTCTGGAGGGTCCTTTCTCCTGAGGGGTGATCTGAGCCTCTCACTCTTGTATCTTGTATTTTGGTGGTGGGTTGGTGTAGGTCGGGGGTGAAGAGAGCAGTAACCCCAGCTCGCCACCAGCACAGTTTTCCCTTACTGATAAGTCTGCAAGGCAGAAGGTGTCTGCCTCCAGGAGTGCTACAGCCTGCTGCAGTGAGTCACTCTTCCTAATTGTTTTCTGAGAACCCCAGCCTGATGCCAAACCTGCCCTGCCCCTCAGATCTGCCTCAGAGCCCTCGGCCCTGGCTGTTTGGCTGCTTTGTTCTGTTTCTGAGTAAGAGAACTGGGGTGCAGGCCAGAGGTGCGTGGGGCAAGGAGACTCGCCAGAGACAGAGTAGGAAGCAGAACAGGCAGATCTACTGAAACACACTGCTGAGGGGCGCAGCGGGCGAGGCAGGAGAGTCTGGTTTCTCCCTGGTGGGAGATCAAACTCAGGCCGTCAGGGTGAAAAGGCTGAGGCTTAACCCCTCAGTCATCAGGGAGGCCCCCTCAGCCTTGGCTGTTGTCAGAGCCCATGGAAGTGGCACGGTGGGCACAATTATGAATTTTATGTTGGAAGTCACTCTTGTGACTCTGCCAAGTGTGCTAGAGCACAGCTGAAGCTTGCAGTTCTGCTGCAGAAACCCAGGGATACATCTTTCCCAGGATGCCACCCTCTAGAAGAGAAAAAAGACAGCAGAAAACAGTGGATAGGTGCCCAGACCTTGTTGCTGGACTGCTTGAGCTTGATTCCCTGTGACTTGAGCTAGTTACTTCACTACTCTGTTCCTCAGTTTCATCTCTAAAATGGAGATGATGATAGTACCTTTTTCAAAATAATGCTGTGGAGATGAAATAAATTAATATTTCAAAAGGATTTAAAATTCTTCTGCATTGTGGCATAGAAGCATTTGCTGCATACATACGTATATATTTATATACATACATACATATGCACACATAGACACAAAGGGAATTTTTAATTTCCAATTTAAAATATTATTTCTATAATGACAGAATTCCTATATTTCTGGATTAATAACATGCTCAACTAAAGAACTATATGTGTGTCACAGATCCCTTTGTTTACAAGGATAGCTAATGAAATCAAAGTAGGAATCACTGAAGGTCTTGGGAAGTCACTTTAATTTTTTTTCCTCAAAGATTTATTTATTCATGTATACAAGAACTGGGGTACAGGTCAGAGGTGCGCGGGGTGAGAGGAGTCACCAGAGACAAGGTGGGGAACAGAATAGGCAGACTGACTGAAATACACTGCTGAGGGGAGCAGCAGGTGAGACAGGAGAGGTCTGCTGCACCATGTGGGTATCTCCCTGGCCAGCTGGGGATCAAATTCGTGCTGCAGAGGCTGTGGATAGCTTCCCAGTGCTGTGCTTAACCCCTTGTGCCACCAGGGAAGCCCTGGGAAGTCACTTTAAAAAGAACCTGTCCTGTTCCTTTCCTGTTTCCTCCTCCTTGGATGAGGAATGTGATATAGTGGAACCTCAACTAGCCATTTGTCTCGTGAAGCAGCCAGTACCAAGGACAGAGGGGCAGCGAGGAGAAGGAGCCAGAGATCCTGATGCTAGCACAGTCCTGGCCAGCTTTCCTCCAGATTTGACAACAGGAAGAGAAAAAACAAATTCCCAATTTTATTAAATCATCAGATTTTTATCACTAGCACTGGAAGCCAGGACACAGACATTGAAATGCTCTGTGAGTGGGGACTCACATGCACACACATTGATTATAAAACAAAATGAATCTGAAAAGCACATCAAGTCCATGAAAAATTAGAATAAGAAATATACTCATCAAAGGAGAGCCTCAGGACTCACAGACTAGAGGAAGGAGAGTCAAAAATGATAATTCTTGACTAGGGGAGAAATTTGGAAAAGTACTTTCTATACCCAAGTCTTTTTACATCTTTCCTGACACCCAGACTAACTTAGATCCCCATTTTGTTCTCCCAAAACATGAGTTGCTATAACTGCTTGAGTAATCATGCCAGGCTATTGCAATAACCACAGACTTTATAATTTTCTGTATCGTAAGGAACACCTGATGGCTGGGGAGAGACTGCCCTTCTCAGAGTCAGCCTGTTCCTGAAAACGGCAGAACAACTTGTCGGCGAGTCCACCTTTCATATCTAAGCCAGGCAATCCTGAGTCCACATCCATCTCCTTTATCTTATTCTCATACGCCCAGCCGATAGTTCCCTTGCCCTAAATCTGCCCTGGGCCAGGTGGTACATAGAGACAGTCCCTGTTCCCCAAATCAAAACTAGCCAAATCTAAACTGTTTCCTGGCCTTGTCGTCCCTCTCCACCACCAGAAACACAGCAAAGGCTGTGACCCACGATTTCGACTCCCTCCAGCAGCTATCACCTGACCAAATGCCGGCACATCCCCCTGTGGCCCTGCATTCACTTAGGAACTATGAGCAATAAATTCCTTCATTTAACCTCTTTATGTTGTCACTCAATCACTTTTATAAATGGAGACTTAGGCAAAGATCAGCTAAAACTAGAGTCTGCCCCATGTCAGCTCCACAGTAAAAATTTGTTGAGTGAATGCATGGATTTTAGGATAACATCACCGAGAGATTCCCCCTGAGGATAATTATGCTGCAGGGGCTAGTGATAGTGAAGACGATGATGTTAACAATATTGACAATGACGGGTGACCAATTTCTGGATCATCTTTCTGATCCCATGGTGGCTTGAGTTGGCTCACCTCAAACTCCTCCATCTGAGGATGCCATGCTTTCGGCCACGTCTTACCCACTGTTTACCGTTTGTTCTTCAAAATGAATTTTTTGTGTGGTCTCTCCACACTCTACAAACTTGGAGCATCAGGTCAGCCCTTCCTGGGGAGCCAGGCTGCAGACTGGTTATAGGCCCCTTTATAATTGTCATCTCCCCTCACCCAGAGAAGATGGCAAGCATTAGCACACGCTCAAAGGGACTGTAATGTAAATACCTCAGCCCAGCAGTAGCTATTAAGTTTCTTTCTGGAAGGACCAGGCTGCACTCCAGAAATTGTTTGAACAAGCCTAATGTACCACAGTGTTCTTTGCTTCATGCTCCAAGCTTGGCCTCCAGGTCCCTAGTCTTTCTCCACGGGTGTCTGGTCAGCGGCCTCTCCTCCTGCTCACGTCCACACCCTTGCCCTGGCTCATTCACATACTCATCTTTAAGGAGTTGACCTGAATGACAGGGAGGACCCTGGCCCTTATCCTGGGGAAATGTTTCTGCCCAGAGGACCAGTTCTGGCTCTTCTTTGAGTCCCACAGCTTCTAGGTCCCACCCAGCTCTGCTCAGCCCTTCACTTGGGCTGCCAGACTGTTTTCTGCGTCTGCCAGCTCTGAGAGGCTGCCAGGGACATGCATCCCTGTACTGGGTAGATGAAGTGGGAGGAGGAAACGCAGGCCATTTTCACCCAGCTCTTGACTGTTGCTGATAATACAAGGTTCTAAGGTGAAGGGAGAGGAGAGAATGAGGGACAACTAGCAGTTTCAATCACAGTGTGACTTTCCAGGAAAAACATGGCTGGACCACTGAGTAGCCAGACACAGCATGCACCACATTGTACCTGACAGAATCACACCAGTGATCTTCATCACAAAAAGGGAGGAAACTCATTCCTACGATGCCACCTCCATGGATCCAGAGCTGAGGCGATGCCAGTGTCCTGGCGTGAGGTGGAAAAGTCGATTTGGCAATCACCTTGTCTCCAAAGGTGTGGCCCTGAGAGGATGTGCCCTTGTTGGGGGCCCTCTCGGGAGGAACCACTGACTGTCCATATCTATAACTGAGGCAAACTCTGAGAGTGTCTAAAGGTGGAGCTTTCTTAGAATTAATTATTCTTTCATAATTAATTAATTTTTAACTGAGGTAACCCCATGAGGTATCACAACCAATGTGCACCCACCACCAACTCACCCAGACTACTGTACCGTAGACCATTGTGCTTCCTCCCTCTCTGTTCTTACCCCTCCCACCCCTTGGTGTCTCAGTCCTATAATCAGCTCTCAAGATTAGTTTTTCTACTTGTCTTATCTGACTATTAATTTAGTTACTTTATATTCCACATATTAGTGACCCCATGCAGTGCTTATCTTTCTCCTTCTGACTTATTTCGCTCAGCACTGTCACCTCCAGCTCTATCCATGTTGCTGCAAATGGCATGAGTTTATCTTTTTTGATCACTGAGTAGTATTTCCTTTGTATGCCTACCACATTTTATTGATTCACTCATCTATTCTGGGGCACTTAAGATTGTTTCCATAGTTGAGCTGTAGTAAATAGTGCTGCAGTAAACATGGGAGTGCACATTTCTTTTCCTATTAGTGTCTTTAAATTTTTTGGATAGATGCCTAGGAGTGGAATTACTGGGTTGAATGGCAGATCCATGTTTAATGTTCTCTCCGTAGGGGTTGGCCCAGGCTGCATTCCTACTAGCAATAAAGGCAGTTTCCCTTTCCTCCACAGCCTCACAAGCATTTGTTGTTTCTGGTATTTTCCATATGGGCCATTGGCACAGGTGTGAGATGGTACCTCATTGTGGTCCTGATTTGCATTTCTCTAATAATGAGTGACTGTGAACATTTTTTTCATATGCCAGTGGG